CTACTCAGATATGGAAAACTTAGAAAAGCCTCACTTCTGTGATATTCTTGCCAAAAATAACCTCAATCAAATCCTAAGAAAACATCAGACAAACCCAAATTGAGAGATTTCTGTTAAAATAACTGACCAGTATTTTCCAAGTGCAAGACCATGAGAGACTGGAAAATGCAATTATACCCCTTGGTGGAACTATGCCAACTTCCCCCTGTATCTCTCATCCATCCACGCCATATTTCATAGACATGTATTTTAACTATTGGGGTTGGAGTGGGCTCAATGAATATCTATCATTGGTTGAATGCAAATACTACATCCTCAAGGACAGTGCCCCCCAACAGGATGTTGTCACAACATCAGCTCCTCAGCTGAGTCTTTGTGAACCTAGTCTAGTGTTCTGTCGCGTCAGGGAAGTACACTGATGGAAAGATCAGAGTGGTTCATGAAATTGCCTGAAGCCAATCCCATGTGAAATGCCTTGCGATATTTTGGTCATTCTGTAAGGACACCTGGGTAGTGATGAAGGAGGCAGCAGTAGAAGCGGGCAAAGCAAATCCATACCCAGTGTGGATACTGGTTCCAGGAGATACTAACTGCCAACACCTCCAGAGAAGGTGGGTGTGATCTCATCACACCACCAAGTGGCCGACTGGTCTTCTTTAGGGACAGTCCAGGTCAAGGTCTCATCTTCAGTTTCTGCTCCTGAACACGCTGCAGTAGGAGGAACCACATCAGCCCTGGTGAGAAGGAAACGCTTTTGAGCCCGTCCGTAACTTCCGTCTCTGATTCCATTCATCGGTCTGAGAGGCAAGCGCTAGGGCATCGATTCCAAAAGTTAGTCTGTGTATATTTGTACATTTCTTATGAACTCAGAGTATTAATATGACTTACTAATTATTTTAATATAAAATACCTCTCCAAATGGAAATTCACTCCTATGATTTAACAACAAAAATATATCCATATCAGGAATATTTTCTTATGCTTGGAAATTTTTCTTGATTAGATAATGAAAAAGATACAGTACATCGTATTGCATTCATTCCTTCTGGAAGGCTCGGAGCTAAATTTAGTAGTGGAATATAGTACTAAACTCCTTAGGATGTCCACATCCTCCTCCAGTTTATTACGTGAGTGTGGCCATTCACCAACCTGCTTTCTTCCTTGCAAATATGGAGGGGCATTGTGACGTGAAATCAGCCGCACTGGAGCAAGTGTGGGAACGGAAAGAAGCTTGACTGTGTCATAGTAGAAGGCAATAGACAGGAAGCTCCCTGGCCACGAAACATAGAGTAGTAAGAAGTGTACGAGGCTTCTTGGAGAATGAAATGAAATACTCTGTGTAGAGCACTTTGTAAATTATAAGGAACTATACAAAATTGAGAGTTTTGTCCTAAATCCAGTAGAAATTCAAAAAACTATTTATACTTTTTTGCATGATTACATACAAACTTATGAAAAAGATGCTATATAATTGGTCAAACCTAACAGCAGCCTACTTTATAAATTACCAACAAAATACTTTTATATGTCAAATATATATTTCAATAGGTTAGTTATTAAATGTGTAAGTACAATATCAGAGATAAACAAAGCCATACAAATAAAAACAAAAAGCACATGAATTAACCACCAGTAACAATGTAAAATTTCATAGACACTTTGACAATTATGTCTTTTATGAATTGGCTATTCTTATTTACATTCTGATTCACATTTTTAATTTATAATTAAGTCTGAAAACACTATTATAATAGTACCCAAAAAGCAAATAGAAATCACTACTTTAGCAAATCAGTTAGTAGGAAAAACAAAACAAAAAATTTGAATATAATAGTAAATGTGATTATACCAAAAAATATAAGTTGAAGACTTAATAATATTTGACTATAAATATTTCTTCAATGGAAGTGTGGACATTCATGAGGCTGATATAAAGAACACAAAAGAGCTGTGATTTTTAAAAATTGAAATGTGCTTGAAGTATTTTATAAGGGCCTAACAAATAAAATAAATAAATAAAAGTAGAAAAATATTGAACATAATACCAATATAAACTAGTTTTACTCTGTTCTGTGGAAAACAGCAGTGGAGCATTGGGTTATAACATTTTAAATATAAATATGGTAGTAACTAAGTCTAGAAGCTATGATACGAATTACTGTCCATGAGCTATTCAGTCCAAGATTCTGAATATGATCACATCAGCCTGTTTACAAAAGAACTTCAGTTTTGAAGATAAGTGTAATTAATGAACTGAGCTATCAGGTTGAAAATTAAATTACTTCCTCAGAAGAAGTATATTTTAACAAATAGGATCTTGGAACTATCAGAGCAATAAATTGCCTTAGATAATTTTAATCAAATTTTAATAACATTTAAATAAAAATCAAATCACTCTGATTATATTTATGTTAAAAGATGCATGACGTATGCATGCTTGCATAATTTCCTATTTAGAAAGCTTTATGTATTGCAAAAGTGCCTGAGAAATAAAAGCCTATGCTCACTCATTGGAGAATATTTTTTTCTGCCCCTTCATTCTTAATTGCTGTACCTCAGTTTCCAGAGTCGCCAATTTCCCAAGAAGGGCAAGTGGATTAAAAATTATTATTAACTAAGCATATTAATATCTATCACATATGTCAAATAAACCAACAGGGATAATAAATAATTTGATGCTTCAATGCATGCAGTTATACAAATATTTACTCATGTTCTGTTATAATATCCCCATAGTAGATCGAAAACTGCAGTGAAAAATTTCTCTCTTAATTACCTTTGCTATTATTTTGAATTCACATAGAATATTTACCTTTAGGGGTAGCCCAGAGAACTGAACTTGCCAGGAATATTTCTATAAAAATTTATTTTTTGACGTGTGATCTAAGTGGTATGGTGGTTTCATTCCTCTGGACCTAAACATGAGCAAATGCTTCTATAACCTTACTTAAATGGGATTATAATATTATTTAGGCATCTAATCAATCCTTATATCTAATCAAAACAGATAGTTGACATTTGATTCATAGTCCAGGACATACTTAAATAAGCTGCATAAAAGTATAAATCAATCAATATCAATGCATCACTTGGTTGTAAAGGCTGCTTCTCTGTTAAATTTGTAAAAGGTGAGTTAACACTAAAACATACTCCTCTTTCTATGATATCTTCTTCAGACTCTTCCCTTCAGGGCATCTGAATGCAAGCTCCATGGCAGCAGGGACTGGCCCACCATGTTATTTGACAGGTTCCAATTACCTGGAAGGGACCTGGAAGGATTAAATGAATCTCTCGCTCAGAGGCCTTTGGCGGACAGACCGTCTTCCCCATCCCTGGGTGTCACATACGGTCTAACCGCGATTCTGATCATTTTCTTCATTCCATAACAATAACTTTGATCAACAAAGTAAATCTTGAAAAAAAACAAAATTTCAAAGCATAAAGAATATTTGTTTAGACATCCCTCTAAAGGGAATGTGATCAATGAGAAAGTTGTAGAATAATATATCTAAATTTTGAATAAACAAAATCTTGATCTAAAAGCATACATATATATATGTATATGTGAAGATATTTAAAGAAAGCAACCAGGTTGCTGTATAAAGGTACACACTTGGAGAGAGCAAAGTATAATGGACAAACCATAAGTAAGAGGAAGTGCAGAACACCAAGATAAGCATAGTAATTCTGTCAGAATTGTAAAATTCAGAACACAAAACATTAAGAATTAAGCACAATATCTTTTCCTCAGTTCTGCTTGAAATGTAAAAGAACAATAAGAGATGAGTAAGTCCCATAGATGGCCAACACATTAACAGATGGCAGAGAAGGGAAAAATACACCTTTCTAGATAGCTTCTGTATTTTCTAATTAAGAAGATAATCTTCAACTTGGAAGAACAGAACAATGTAAAAATGGTTTTGGAAGTAAACTGATGGTTGGCAAGGAGCTGGCGAGAGTCCACTGCAAGCCTTTAATAAATTTAGGACTAGCAGCTGAGATGAGTTAGATCACAGGGGCAAAAGTTTGCAAAAGTGACTTCAGGTTTGGATACCACTTGAATTTGAAGATTCTTGGCAATGAGAGAGTTGATAGAAGGTTAAATATAGACAAATATCATAATTTTTCGAAGGAAAAATTTGTAAAGACCAGATATAATTTCTGACATTTATATTAGTCCCATTTTCTGTTTTAATTTGTATTAAATTATTTAGATTGTGGGGTTAAATAGCAAAGCATACCTAGATTCTAAATATCATTCATTAAGACTGTAAAGATAATTAGTTTTCCTTCCACCTTGGGGTTTTTGAATGAAAAAATTTAGAAAAACTATATAAACATGTTATATTAAATTTACTGCAACATTTTGCGTAAATAGCTATTATGAGTGTTTTAAATTGCATGTTGACTTATACTTTAAATATTCTTTAGAAATAGTCTCCCAATCTCTTAAAATTGGTGTATAACATACATACATAAAAGAGCATAAATTCATGTATATGCAGTTTGATGAATTTATAATAAATGAACTTATCTGTGTAACCAGCACCAATACCCAGAAATGAAACATTTTCATCACCACAGGAGACTCCACTGAACTCTTTTAAGAATTGCTCTCCGGAAGTAACTACTACCCCAATTTCCAACAGCCTGCTTTTATATTTTATATAAATGAATTAATACAATATTTACTCTTTAATGTCTTTCTTTGGCTCAAAATTATAAGATTCATTTATGTTATTGTGTACAGTTAAAGTGCTTTTATTCTTATTGCATATACTATTTTACTTTGTGAATATATGAGGATTTATTTACCCAGTCTGCTCTTGATGAACATTTGATGGGCATGTGGGCAGTTTCTAGATTTTGTATGTTACTGATTATCCTGATATAAACATTCTTACACATGGCATTGTATGAGTAAACATATGCATTTCTGTCCAGAGTGTACTTTATAACTGTTGCAGGAATTACTGAGTCAAAGTTATTCATGTGTTCAGTTTTAGCAGATAATGCCAGTTTCTGGAGTTGGTTGTGCTGTTTGCATTCCCACTAGCAGCTGCAGAGAGTTCAGGTTGCTCCATGTTCTCGCCAACACTTGAGATTGTCAGGCGTCTCACCTTAGCTGTTTCTGGTGAGTGTGGTGGTTTTACCTTGTGTATCCCTGATGACAAATAAATTTAAGCCTTTTTCATATGTTTATTAGCCAGTTACATATTCCATTTTGTGAGTATCTGAAAGACGCAGTAATTTATAGGAAGATTTTCTCTGTTGTATTGTTCCTTTCATCTATTTTTTATCTTTTTGCCTAGACCATGCTGTTGAATTACTATCACTTCATATAGGTTTGGGTAAATATCAATATAAATCCTTCAATTTTGTTTTTCAAGAATGCTTTGCTTTTTTTGGACATTTGCATTTTAATATAAATGTTAAATTCATCTTGTCAGTTTACACACACACACACACATACAGAACAGCTGGTGTTTTGTTTGAAATTACATTGAATCTGTAAAATTTATATTTTTATGATACTAGGTCTTTCTATCTATAAGTATATCATAACTTTTCTTAAGATATTGTTTAATTTATCCAAATAAAGTGTAAGGTTTTTACCTGTGTAGATGTCTTACACATGTTTTGTTAGATTTATTCCTAGATATTCCCTGATCCTCTATTTTTCAAGAATTTTTGGCACTTTAATGTAAAAAATACATCGCGCTTCAATTACTTTGTAGTTAAAGATTTTTGTATATTGTGTTTACTCAAAGTACTATCAGTGAACTGTTACTATTGATTTTTATTCAGTTTCCCTTTCTTATTTCTACAGCCTCATTTTCCTTTGTGGGTGTCTTTGATTTCTTGACATTCTTTTTAGGATGTGTGAACTCTACAGTCTCATTACACAGTTAGGATGCAGAATTCTGTAAACACCGCTCTGTCCGAGAATCCCGTAGGTAAGCCGTGTCTGTCAGCACAGTCACCCGCAGGAGTGACAGTGATGGAGTGAACCACCTGTGTCTGCTGTGGCAAGGTCATGACAGGTAACCTGCTCTTGCGCGTTCTCTCCCCCCCAGGCCATGGCAGCTGTTTACTTAGATAACAGTGACTTGTGGTAGTAACATATACAGCAAATTACTTTTTAAATGTTGATGTCAGGACGTAAAAAACTTAAAACCATATGAATAATGACGAATGCTATGAGAAATACAAAAAAAAAAAAAAATCCTATAGCGATGACTGTTATCTCTTTGGTAGTCACCCCTCCTGATAAGGAGTGTGAGAACAGATAAGAGAACGTGGGAGAGAAGACGGAAACCAGTCAGAGAACACGAGGTGCAGCCTCAGGCCACTGCGGATGGACACACGTCCTAATGAAGGTTTTGGTGAGATAGGTGAGCACATTTTATCATTTTCAGTCACACAGACAAGCATAGCTTTTGTTTTGATTTTGCTTTAAATGTCCAAGACCCACTATGAAGAAAACAATTGTTCAAAGGATAGTGATTTACAAGAAAGAACCCATCTCTCAGCCGGTGAATTGATACACAGTGACACAAACGTAGCTGGAAGGTGTGAATCTCTCACCCCTACAATGGTAAGGATTGGTTTAAAGTGGGAACAAATATAACAGAACTGTTTGGGCTATGTGAGATCTAATGCTATGGAACAGAATTCATTTATTCATTATTTGGTTTTATTTTTATTGGTTTCAAATATTCATCAAGTACCTACTCTATGTGAAAAGAGAAGAGGAAGGGGAAGGAAAGAGAAAGGGAGAAAAGGACAAAGTAAATATGTTTCTTGCCCTCATGGAATGTTCATGCCTGGGTATTTAACATTCTGGTGTATAAACAGTGAGTTGACATTACATACAAATATTATCACCCTAAAATATGCTATTGGTTAATAGCAGTGAATATATAATGAGAGTCTGATATGCTGATTTCAGGGAATAAGGAGTGAAAGGATATACTTAGCATGAGAAAAATCCGAGACCTTTTCACAGTATAATTGAGAATTCATTGAAAGTACTCAATTCTGGTATTCTGGAGCCAGGGTTATTGAACACTGGCTTTACAAAATCTTACGTGGCGAAATGTAATTTCAGAAAACACAGAGTGGCTGGCTAACAGCAGCAGCATGTACCTCAATTTGGGACTGTACAGTTGCAAATGACCCAGAGGCTGGATCAAGTGGATTATGTTCCTGGACCTGTTTGGGGGTCCTCAGAGAAGCTCATTATGAAAAAATATATATTTTTCCATGTTTTTATTAAGTATAATTATGCAGCTGGGCTCTGGAAGAAAATATACATTTGTTTTTAAAGAAATAATAATATGCTAATACTAGATAGAAAACATGCATAACTGTGAACTTTAAGTATTTTGTTTGAGGTTACTGTAGTCTGCTTTGAAATGAAGCTAAAAACAAAGTGGTGTGAAGGGCATATTTTTCCATCTTTCCCTTTCTACATATTACTGCTTATCTGTAGCACTACTTTATAAATCAGTTCATGCAATTGTTGTCCTATAAGACATTATTGCGCCCTCTCTGCACTTTATTTGGGTACTTCATTCTAAGTCTTGCAGAATAATACTGCTTAAATTCGATGAAATCTAAGTGATTTTCATATTTTAATTGAAAAGATGTGAAGTTAGTAGAAGGTAATATTTCAATCACAGTTCAGAAAGCAAAACCTAAGACCTGTCAAGTAATCATTCTGAAAACTCCTTTCCATTTATTCGTTTCTTATAACCACAGAGAAGATTTTTTAAATTTTCTGCTTAATTTCAAGAACATCACCTTTTTTAAAAAAAAAAAAAGGTTTTCTGAAAAGAGAATAGAAACGTAAAGAGCAGAAAATGGGAGCCAGCAGAAGGCTCTAGACAGTGTTGTTGTTGTTGTTGTTGTTTTTCCTATAGAACTATAGGCACCTTCTGAAGGAAATAAGAAAAAGATAAAACAAGTATTTACCCTTAACCAGGTGCTTTTTATTCTGTTTGATAGATGTTTATTTTGGGCAGCGAGTACCCGGAACAACTAGCGGTGAATGCTGGTGGCCGGAAAAGTGCAACAAAAGATTCAGTGTAATATGTGCAGCCTGAAATCAAATGACTTCCGACTTTAGCACTGGCATCAATATACTTGCGTTTTAAATTATTAAATTTTATCATCTAGTAAGTAAACTCTAGCTGCTAATTGTGAGGTACATGATAAGAGAAATTGCCACATTGATTGCCTTTTCTAAAACTAACATGCGAAGCACTTTCTTAAGCTATTACAAATATTGAAATAAATAGGCTTTTTGTTTTGCTTTGTTTTTAAACATCTCAACATGTTCACACTGGTCAGGAGATTCCAGTAAATCTGTTAAAACTACCTTTGAAAACTTTTTTTTTTCTAAAACTATTTTACAAAAGAGAAGGAAGGGTTTAAATAGAAATTTATTTTAGCAGTCTGTAGTTTTTGAGTAAAATATATTTTATTATAATCTATGTTAGTTTATAGTTCAAGGTCTCTTCTAGAATTTGATTGCCTGTTTAGCCCAATAAAACATGTGGGACATTCATTCATATATTCATTTTATAATAAATGATGACATGAAGGATCTATTGTCATGGAATTGTTGCTTTCCTATTTCTCTACACTTAGTAAACTTCTATTCCCAGTGGTTTAAATAGATTTGAATAAGTTTAGCTAATGTTATGTTAATTTTTAACCATTGATTTTTTCCCTCCCATATTACCTTTTCTGTAACCAGGTTATTAGAGAAATAACCCAATACTAAGCAGAAGTTCTGAGCCTCTGTCTTATTTATTTTTATGAGAACATAATGTAAATGTAAACCAAAATCCAGTTTCCTTTGTACAAGATGGAAATACTATAGATTTGATTTTACACACACACACATATATATATGCCTTGTTGTAACATTAACCCCTAAGCTGGTGGCACTCTATGAACCATATAAATTACCCTCAGTATCCGAATATATACGAATAAAAGAATCTGGCCTGCCTTTTCACGTCAGCATTACTCTCCAGTGCACATTTTAATGATTACTTTCTCATTTTTCTCTTTGTACGCTTCCAGCATGTGAACGAAGAACTTAACAAATAGTGTTAACATTATAAATGGTTTCGGTCTTATTTACTGTTCCGCTTAACAATCTCATCTACTGTAAGTTCATTCTGCGTAGGGAATAATAAATCTAAATTTCATAAGAAAATTAGAAACGGTATCTATTTCAAACAAGACATGTCTGTCACATGAAAGAGCCGAGCAGATGACGTGCTAGTGTGTGACCAAGTGCGCCCGCAGAGGTGGTGCTGGCTGCAGGGAGCCACGTGAGATGCAGACAGCCTCGCCAACCAGCACCCACCGGGGTGACAGTGCCCGGTGTCCTCCTCCTCCTCCTTCCATCCAGTAAAAACGCGCTTGGTCGAATGGTTTTCCTCAGGTAGGCCTGAACAGATACTTCACTAATGATCCCAGTTTCAGCCAGCGACCCAGAAGTGAAGCCCTGCGTTTCACAGAACTCCTGGAGTACACTGCAAACAAGACGTACAAAATGTTACGTCCTCAGCACAAAACCCAATATGCTGGTGTACGTCTTTTCCTCAAGGCTGAATTCAAAAACAAAATGTTCCGTGGGCACATAAGACGGTAGGTCTGAGTTTGAAAAGAAGCACAAATCTTTTCTCCTCTATAAGTTAAACTTCAGAAAATGCGAAACGAGAAGTTGTTATGGTGAGAGATAAACCTTGCAGTTCCTTTCATATATTAGCGGTGCCATTTCAGTTATTATTCATAACTCTGGGGAGACTACACAAATGATTTCATGATTTTTGGAAGGTGTTAATTTTGGGGCAAAAAAAATCCAGATTTGTTCACACACAAAGAATGATTCATTCTATTTTAGCACTAACCGATAGCCCAACTGATATTCTTTAATCCAAATGGTAATTATGCCAGCCCTTTCTTAAGAAAAAACTTAGCTTAGCAATATATATGTTTAAATGAAATGTTAAGGTTTCTTTGATTCTCATAGCCAAGGAAAACACAAATTTAAATCTGACAGATATTTGATTTCAATACTGTATTTGCATATATATATAACATATAT